CAGGTGTAGGACAAAAGTTGATCAATGTCTTGTCTCACAACAAAACCAAGTTGACTTTATCTGTTAGTACCACATTCCCAAAGGTATTGCACTTGGTAAATAAACCATAGTCAAAGGTCAGAGCTCAGAAGTACCATTAGAAAACTTTATAAATTAGGTGCAATGGGTATTCTAAAAGTCAATGGCACAATTCCCATCAAGTTTACAGATTCTGGATAACTAATACAGCCTACACCAGTTGTCACATAACATTTTATATGAATGTCCTGAAATATGCATCTTAATTCATGTCTATTCTCGCAAAAAAAGGCATGGCAACACAGGTTGCCCTGCCATGCTAATGTGCATGAGAGGTGACAGAGAACGCTTGGAAAGGACAGCAAGAATGGTTAACTGTCCCCAAATGCCATTTCTTCTTCCACATATACCCCCTAAGCAGCTTTAATCACCTGGTTCACCTGACTAGGGTAATCCTGGAAATTGCCTTGCATGTCAATCAGCAAGACAATCACACTTGCCTATTCATCAATTGCTGCAAATCCTAAATTCCTTCTCTGCAAATGCGTAGACAATATTTCATTTGGCTTTTTAAAAAGTAAGTATGTTGAATACTTCAACAAAAGTAAAAATCATGAAGAAATATGAAAGTGTTATCTTTTCCCCAACATAGATTTCTACGGGTGATGAATTTTAATAAGCAAATGGACTGATTTTCTACCTTGCAAACCTCTATCATATGAGTTAATTTTGATGGAGGCCACACATTTAATGTTTCAATAGATATTATCTACACTGGAGAAACAGATCTTACTATGTGGTCAATATAAAACTTGATCATTACTTTTTTAAAAACCAAGTTTATTTTTTTTTAAAGTTTTAAGCTTTGGTTCCATTAATCACTGAATTATGAAGCTCTAAAATATAGCTAACCTAAAAACTTCCCAACCAAAATACTTAATTCTATTTAAGCCTGCTTAGACACTAAAGGTATGCCTTTAGGGTTGATTTTAAACCCATCATAACAAAGGACACATTTGTCCTTTTAACCAAATATGTTGGATTTAGGTCTGAGCTTGGAGGAGGCTTTCAGGGACTTTTCTTCCTCCTCCTCCTCTTCTGCATCCCCCCTGAAAGAAGGGGTAGTATGGATGATTTGAGTATGGAATCGGATTTTGTTGAGTCGGGGTTTTATCCTACCACTGCCGGAGGTTTTCCTACTGAGCTCTTTGCTCTTGTTGGGTGCTGCAGAGCCGTCTCCCGATTCCCTTTCATCCCCGTGATGATGGTGATGGTGGGAAAGCTTGTAAGTAATGAGGTTAGAGGGGAGCACCCTGGAAAGCCTCCAGCGGCTGCTGCCATTCGATGCCCCGCTGTCGACCTCATCCTGCAGAACCCCGACCAGGCTGCGTACCTCTTCGGCGGTGCCCTGGCTCAGGTAGTGGGAGGCCTTGCGGCCGCTGTAATCCCGGATATCAACGTCGGCGTCGTAGGCGCCCACCAGCAGCTTCACCACTTCCAAGTGGCCGTGCATGGCGGCCAGGTGCAGCGCGGTGTAGCCGCCGCTAGTGCGCGCGTTAATGTTGATGGGCAGGCACTGCCGGTGGGCGAAGTTGACCAGCCGGGCCAGCAGTTCGGGATGGCCCAGCTTGGCCGCCCAGTGGAGGCACGTGAAGCCCGTGATGAAATCGCGCTTGGGAAACAGCGCCGGCTCGCAGCTGAGCAAGCTCTCCAGGCTTTCCCAGCGCCCGTCCGAAGCGCACAGCATCCAGGCGTGCTCCAGCGGGTCCAAGGCCACCGAGCCCCCGCTGCTGCCACCCTCGTCCTCGGCCGACGAAGAGGCCAGGGAGGCGCTGTCCGAATCCCCGCCGCGGCTTCCTCCGCTGCCGCCGCGGTGCAGGAGCCCCCCGCGCTTCTGCTGAGGGGAACTGCCCACCATCCGCTCCCGGAAGACCTTGTGCCCACACCTGGGTGTGTTGGCGCCGGTAGAGGCTCCGCCCGCCGGGCTAGTGGAGGGCGGCGAGTCTTCTTCGAGCAGGGCCTCAACGGCGTCCCCGCCGGGTTTCTCCTCAGGCTCAGCATCGCCCGAGGGCATCGGCACCGCCTCCAGGCGCCGCGGGCTGCTCTGCTGTTCCACCCGGCTGCCGCCGCCTCCTCCTCCTCCTTCTCCCGGGCTCTCTGGGCTCGCCAGAGGTGCCTGGGGGATTCGGGTTGAAAGCGTCTCCGGCGGTGCTTCCAAGGCGTCGTCGCCGCCGCTCTTCTCCGGCGGCAGCTCTCCAGAAGGGGCAGAGGGATCCCCTCTCGCCCCCTTCTCTCCCTTCAGCGGTTCGGCGCCGGCTTCCTCCTCGCGGGCCGCTCCTTGCGGCGTGTCCTCGGGGTGCCCGACAGCCCCGGAGTCATTCTCGGCCGCCGCCGCCAATTCGCCTTTCCGACCGCCGCGATATTTCTTGCGCAACTGCACATACTTGGTGCCGGAGCCGGGTTCCTGCCGCACCGTGGCTACGGCGTTGACCAGCTCCTTAAAGTGGTCGCGGGCCCGGGCGCGGCTCTCGGGGTCCGGCGAGTTGAGGAAGCCACGGAAATGGTCCAACAGGTCGGCGTTGCGAGCCCGGCCTCCGCGCTCTGCCAGGAACCGGAGCACCGTGTCTTGGTCCAGCTCTCCCGGCGCAGCCATAGGCGCCCACAGACCGTTGGCGGCGGCGCCCCTCGTGTCGATTCCGACCGCTAGCCTTCAGTGCGGGATCCCCTCCTGCCTCCTTCGCTTGGCCCGCCATGGCATCGTCGCTGCCACGAGACGCCCGACGGCATCGCCCGAGTCCGGCTTCTCCCTCCCTCTCTCTCTCTCTCTCTCTCTCCTGCCCTCCCTCGGTTGCCGGACCCCACCAAGCGCGCGCCCCCCTCCTCGCTCACGTGATGTCCGCGAGGGAAACAGGGAGGCGCCTATCTGCCGTTTTCAAACTGTCCTCCCCTCCCTCTGAATGAATCTCGGCGCTGGGGAGGCTCTAAAAAAGCTCGCCGCCGAGAAGGAGAAGGTCGGGGCGCTCGTCCGAAGCCACGCCCTCGCGGGGCTCCTCCCACATTCAGAGAGTAGGTTTCCGACTCCCCCGTAGAAGTTAGAGCCGCTCGTCTCTCTACCCCCCACCCCACCCCCCATTTACGTTCGTTTGCGGTTTGGGCGGGATTGGCTGGGCCTTGGCCCCGCCCTCCTTTCCGCGCGGCCTCTCATCACCACCAGTTACATTCCAGCTGTTGGGATTGGAGTTGGAAGTTCGACGCGGGCTCCCACCCTCCCTTCTCCATTGTCTTTGGCGCGCGGTGACCCCTCCCCTCATGTCATGGCTTCTTCCGATGTGGCTCGGCAGCTGGTAAGTCCAGGGTGTGGGAGGGAGAGGGGGAGCCGGCTTTGAACGGGCGACAACGGGTCCCTCTCGGGCTGCGGCCACACATGCCTGCTTTGTGGGTAGGAAATCCCATTGGATTCCCGGGCTTTACTTTTGGTGAAGCGTGGAAGTTGCAATCCACGAGAGCCGTTTCGCCCCATTGATTTCGATGGGCACAAAGTTGGGCGGGCCTAAATGATCCAAATCAGCTCTGTGGGAATCTCCCAGATTGTTTTCATCCCATAGAAAAGCTTCCAGCTTCCCCCATCACTTACAGCAAGGGCTCCCCAAACTTGGCCAACTTTAAGACTTGCAGACTTCAACTTCCAGAATTCTCCAGCCAGCTGGCTGGAGAATTCTGGGAGTTGAAGTCCGCAAGTCTTAAAGTTGGCCAAGTTTGAAGACCTCTGATTTACAGCTTTGTGTCAATCCGAAAGCACCAGCCTCTTGCCATGACAGCAGACAAACAAAAATAGGAAAGTTTACTGCCCCCAAATCAGTGAGTGCTTGCTTAGATAATTTAAAAAAAAAATATTTTAGGCATTGTTAGTTAATTATACTTCTTTCCTCTGGGAATTTGAGGTATTGTAGCTTGCAAAGTAGGCTGGCCTGAGGAATAGTGATTGGCACAGAGTCACTTCCCTGATTTTCCATGTCTGACCATAGAATTGAACTTGATTTCCCTTCATTCTAATCCAGTATCCCTAAACCGGGACATTGCATTAGCTTCTGAATGTTCAGGAGATTTACTTTCAAACAGAAGCAAAAGTTGTCCATTGGTGGCGGCATGTGGCTCGTTGTGCCTAGGTTAGAAACTAAGTAGGATTTGGGTTGGTTAGGACTTGGGCGGGAGATTTTCTGAACTATAGTATAGAATGAAAAATCAGAAAAGCATTCTGGAAGAAGCAGTAACAAATCACTGCCATAATTATTTATCTGTATCTTGTCTATCATTGCTTGGTTTCTAAAGAACATACATGCGTGTCAGCATTGCTGTAGCATTTCTCAAATGACTCAAGTAAGGCATTAAAGTCTGCTAACAGGTTTATTGTTATATTAGTTTATTGGATTAAACCTGGTATACTTCACAAGGTCTGTGGCCCTGTTAAATTACAACTACAGTATAAAAGAATCCCTCATTCAATAGTTACTTGGCAGTTCAGTGAATGTGCCAAGGGTCAATTTTTACACTCACATTTAATTTACAATTAAATCCACATGTTAACCAACAAAATTGTTGCTGCTGCACAATGATAATATGTTTGGAAGACAGTTTCATTGAACGAATCTAGTTTATTGAATAGATTCAATAAAATCTATTTTTGAGTCAATTTGAACAGCATTAAATTGCCAGTAGCTTTATGCTACCAATGTAATTCACCTTTATGTATCTATTTGAATGTAAACTTATGCTATAGAGGCAAAAGGTGTATGGGTTTGTGTGTGTGTATGTATACACTCATACATATGCACATATAAACAGCTTAATTACCTCTGTAGCGTAAGCCAGTTTACGTTCACAATATATTAATTTGTAAGGTTGCTGTCATTAAATACAGCCTTTGAGTTATTTTCCTGCCTTTGTAAGCTTTTATCATGTCAAGATTTTCCTCCACACCCAGCACTATTTTATAATCAAGTATCCTTTATGCTGGTAACTCAGCATTCTACCCTTACACTAAAGCAACACCCATATTTTCATCATTAATCTTTTTGAATCTACTTAGCCCAAGTCTTTTTTCCCCATAAAGACTGCATTTCCTGCTTATGTTAACACCTAGGAATTATAATTTTCTCAGGTGATGCATATTTTAAATTTTTTGTATTGTGTTTGTAATTTGATTTTATGATTGTTTGCTGCCCAGAGTGTCACTTGTTTGAGATGGGTGGCTATATAAATAAATTATTTAAAACAACTATTCAAATTTGGTTTTAAATATTGAAAAAACTTTCCTGATTTTGAAAAATGAAATGCATACTAAAATTTATCCACAGGCTGCTGCTAGCATGGACTAATGAATAAAAACGAGCAGTGTTTTAAATAATTGCATATTTTAGTGTAATATTCAATGCTATTCTGGGTAGATCCTCTGTGTGTGTGTGTGTGTGTGTGCGTGCGCGTGCGTGTGTGGATTCTATTTGTGTGTGTGTTGTGTGTGTGTGAGCAGTCCTAAAACCGCAATATGAATGCAGTAGGCAAATACTATTAACATCTTCTAGGGAAATATTAGAAATACATCTAAGTAATTTTNGAGGCTGTGTATTGATGCAACCAAGTCTTTGTATATTTTTTACTATTTTCCTTACTAAAAGATTTGTTTGAAAATTGATGTCTAGACTTTTTACATCTACTGTAGATGAAAGAATGTGCCATACTCTGGCCATCTGTGAACTCAGCTATTAAATCTGTGCGTATTCATGTGGGCGACACCGGGTCCATTCCAACCATAGTGGTTGGAACGGGATCTGGAACCCACCACTGTATCAGCATTATGTCTGCAGTTGTACATATGAATGTTGCACATATCAATTATGTATGATTGATGGTACCCTTTCGGAGGTTAACTGAAAGTGACAAATGCGATTTTTGGGACGGTACTCAAGTACAGCCTGAATCTTGACTGAAGTGGTTTCAGATAATTTCATCCAAGACCCTGGTGAAGTTGTAGCCTGACTACTTTCTATCTTTTGACATTTCCTTAAAAAAATTGGTTGAAAACTGGACAAAAATTATTCAGCATCTTCAGGTAAGACCTTGATATTAAGCTTAGTAGTCATAACAGAATACAAATAAATTTTGGAGAATAGGGTTTGAGAAATAAGGAGTACAAAAAGGAAATATGAAAATGACAAATGTGCATTCAGAAAATTCAGGGATTGCAGCATTAGATAAAATTGTCAGATTAGAGAGAAAAACTGCCCATGCTTGTGATAAATTCAAAATAATTTTGACCAACTTGTGTTTGAGTTTCTGGAAACAGATTATATTCAAACATGGCTCCAGCAGGTAATTTATAGGTTTACAATGATGGCTTGATATTTTGTCCAGACCACATATAACCCTCTCCAACCTCCTGACTAGAATTCTCCTTTGTTCCTCCTAGACTGATAAGAAAACATCAACTTTATCATTCTCATCACTTGGGCAGAAAGGGACAGCTGTTGATTCCATCAGTTTATTTTTAAAAACAGGTTTGATGGAAGTAAAACTAGTGTTACAGGATAGGATAATGAGAGATAATCTTGCAGACTGAATTAACCTCAGGTCTGTTTTGGAATAGAGTTAAAAGGATTCTGGATGCTCTGGCAGAAAAAGAGGATAATTGGGTCTACATTCCAAAGTTTTTGTAACTGATAATTTGAGATTGGAAACTGGATGTAGGAAAGGTTCATGAATAATGCATGAACAAAATCGATGTTTAATATAAAATACATGCTGCAAGAAATGAGCAGTTCTAACAGGCAACAACTTCTGTGATTGATGTCCTGTTAGCATTCTGCTCTAATTTATGGGGAGGGGGTAACACTTCAGAATTAAATGGACAAATTTGCACATGAGATAGTGTGTTACTCTGGGTATATTTCGATGAAATAATAGTTCTGTAAAATAACTCAATTTAAAATTTTCAGTTTACATCAATAAGTCTATAGTATTATTCTTAACAAGTAAAAACTTACTGTTAAAACAAAACTAATTTGAATCTTGAAAGTATTTTGTAATGTAGTTTTAAGTTTTCAAAGTGCTCCATATGGTTTGTTTTGAAACAATCCTGTAAAATTTGTCAGTATTTTGATACTGTAGATAAAATAGCAAATGTTAAGAAAGAAAAGCTTGTGTAAGGCCACCTCATTAAGGAAAAAGGTCACAATGAACTAATGATTTTCTTATATGTCACGTTTGTTTAATCGAGATTTACTGCATAAAAACAATTGACTCCATTCACGTTAGCCTCAAAATTGAATCACAGAGTGTGAGTTCACTGTTTTGTGTAAACCCATGCTCTGACTCATTCTTTGCTGGTTGATATGCACCAGCTGTTTATGAAGGAAGAATTTAATTTTGCCTGAAATATCTTCTTAAAAACTGGCAGCCAATCAATAAATGTAGATTTAAGAAATATTTCTTAAATTTCTAAGTACTTTTGGAACTCTCATTTTTGGTGTAGTGCAAACTTCTCATAAAAAACTGATAAAATGCCAGGCATTGTTATTCTTACAATATACATTAACATTAGAGTGGCGTGGTGGCCTAGTGTTCAAAATGCTCTCCTCCCATTCAGAAGGTTAAGAATTCAACCCTGAACAGTGATTAGGATTGAACTACTCTCAAGGTGCAGAGAAAATATCTGCTGCAACTCCGCATAGGCATCAGGAAGGGCATCTGACCAGTAAACACTCAGTTCCATTCAGTCACCCTGACTCTACCCCAAATTAAGGGATTGCAGGTTTGGGGGGAAAAAAACCATTTAAACATTATTTCTAGATATTCAATACAATAATGTAATAACAATAAGCATATAATGTGCAAGGTTTTGCACTTGAAGAATTTCAAATCAAATCTTTCAACATAGTGGAATAACAATCGCTTTTGGTTTTAGAATATTAAAATAATATACATGTTCTGCATGGATATGTTCCATATCCAAAGATAGTTAATATTTCTAGATCCAATGCTATCCATCAAGATCCAAGTAGCCTCCATAATAAAGTATGCTAATGTCAACTTAAATTGGTATGAGTTATGTCTTTTCCTGGGCAGATATTTTTGATTATTCTGACAAAAGTATTGTATAGTTAATTTCAAATCTTTAAGTAAGAGGTGTGGGATTTCCACTGAGGTTAGTTCAACAGCCAGTATTAATTGAGTACAAATATAATTCCAAAATGAAAAGTACAATGACAATTAAAAGAGTTAGCTTTACAACAATTCCTCACTCAAGTATTCATTCACACATTTTATCATCAGTTTTACCAAATCTTGCAAA